CACCTGTTTTTCAGTGGTCTTTTGCATGCACGAGATTTACATAAGAAGGAGTAAACAATTATGTTTGATGCTTCACGGTATGTCATTTCCATGTACAGAACTGTTATTATTTAACTATGCCAAGGTAAATAGAGTTTTCCATTCTATGGCACCTTTAAATATTGTATAAATTATGTAAGTTTATAGGGAGATAAAAAGAAAGCTCACTAGTTTATAGAGCAGTGCCATTGTGTTTGAATCCTCCTGTCTGCTACTAGTGAGTCGAATGTGGAAAAAGTTGAGGGTCAGGTTGGCCTTTTTTGACAGTTAACCCTTTCAGTTAGCATTACCCTCTCGGTTACTGGATAAGCGCTGACATTTGACCTGTGAGAGCAGACGATTTTGAGGAATCCCCTTTAGTGTAATTGGATTCAGTGTGTTCAGGTGGCAGAGTCTTTCTCTCTTTCTGTGTGTCTCGACATACTGCATGAGCCTACACATTTAAAATGGATTACGGAAGATCTGAGATAGGCCACGGGACAGATTGCTCTGTCGGTCTGAGTTCTGTCTCTGACTCCCTCGCGCTCCCATGCACACACATTTAACCAAGGACATCCATTGTGTACGAGTCCCACAGCGATTGGAAACGATATTCTTGAGGTCTGTGCTTTTCATAGTGAAAAAAAGAAAGAAAAATACATATGGGAAACGCATTCAGATTTTTTTTTTCTGGTCCTCTTCGTGCTTTGAACGTTCATGCTTAATGTGGTTTAGAGGTTAAGGCTAAAAATAGACAAGAGAGTAAATATTGTTGCTGAATATCTTTGAGCAGGTTTATGTTTCAGTGCTTTGTGTCGGAATTAAATTACCCTTTTACTGTTCTTCTCTTACGCCTGCCATCTCTGTCATGTAATTACTTTAAAGGAAGATTGAATTGTGCTTTAATAATACTTTTAGAGGTAAACAGAGTTGCGTATCCCTCTGGTTGTGGGAGGGTTATGTGGATGTGAGCATTCAAGATGTTTGATTTGTATTCAGTACGTTTCTAACATGAATAATCTGAAATGGGATCTATTCAAAGCGAGGTACCCTAAAGGTTCTTTCAGATGTGGGTGCGCAGATTCACGTATAAAGTGCTCATGCACAGTGTGGGAGCGAGTGTTTTGCAGTATGTTATCATGTTAAACAGCGAGAGAATTTCAATGCGAGTCTGGTTTCTCTTCAAGCACTTTTTTGTAGCACGCATACGTTCTCACATCAAAAGCATCAAACTCACATGAGTTTGTAGCTGGAAGGGACCGGCGGTCTCAGAAGTCCCTCATACAAATACAAACACACACAAATGCACAAAAAACAATATGTATACAAAGAGCTACTCATATATACTGTAGAGTGCCAGTGAATGAATATGCAAAATGAAATATTTGAAAGAAATGGAGAAAGCGACAGCATAGCATGCATATAATAGTAAACTATATGAACTATATATAAACTAGTATATATAAATGAATAAATAGCATTGCATTATATTGACATGATCTCAGAGCTGATTGACATGAAAACACAAGCACATATAAAATGTACATCCTTATTTAAAATGGGCGAAGCACACAGAATGCTATGTGATTGTTGGGTGTAGTTCTGCGTGGGCTCTGCTGTCGGAGCATCTCTGAATGAGAAAGACAGCTGCACTTACACTGCAGCCAAAGGGACGGCAGCCATCTATAATGTACATACGGGACCGAGGGAGGAAAAGAGAGAGAGAGAATGTGCCAATAATGAACAAGTAATGAGCAAATGTTGCAGAAGCTTGTAAGGAGAAGACAAGTCTTTGAAAGACAGAACAATGATGACAGAGCAAGACTCAAGCCAGGTGATCAACAGATCAGTGGTCGGGAGTAAGAGAAACTATAAGAGATAATCCATTTCCAAAGGCATTCTGGTAAATTAATGGATCAGTGTAGCTGAAGACATTGTACATATACCACCTAGAGCAGGGGATCTGCTTATTATTGAGTCAAAAAAGAAAATTGTGGGGAAAATGTCAGAGTGTTTCTATATATCGTTCTCCCATAATAAAATGTATTAATTAAAAAAAGTGCTGAAAAATAATTACAAAAAAACTGAATTACTTATAAATGTGTGTATATGACTTTGTACATAATTATTATATAATTTTGTATATAATTTTTGTATTGTGTGCGTGAAAGGGGAACAATATAACGAGTGATATGGAGAATGACTTCTACTTCAGATATCCAAGTAGGTGCACAATTCTGTTTTCTTATTTTAATTAGTGTCTATATAAATATATATTTATATATATATATATATATATATATATAATTTCTGTAATATACTGTATATATTATATTAAATGGCTTAGCAATATCAGAGTGTAAAGTATACATTATCTAACAGAGGGACACTGCTCTATTTCTTTATCCACCAAGGGATCCTTGGCCTTTAAAGCTATGCATGCTTCCATCACCTTTACAATTCCATCCAAAGAACTTACTGTCTGATTGCTTTATAGTCCCCTGTAGGACCAGTGAACGCAACATTTAACTCAACAACCAGCATGCCAGACCCACTTCCTGCCTGCAAATGAAGTATGTTCTTCAAAGTGCCCTCTGTGGACGACTGGACACACAGTTCTCGTGATATAAGGTCCCTGCGGTGTGCGCGGCAGGTCGTATCAGGGTCACGCTCGGCTGAACAAGAGGAGGCGGGTCTTGTTGACTGGCTGACATGTTTTATGTATGAACACATTTACCGTTACGGCAGGACGTCAGTGCGCTGTAAATGTCAGTTTAGTGGATTGGGAGTCTGCCGTTCACAGATGGTTTTTACATTCAGTGAAGTGGACTGTTGCTTGAACAAGGCTTTAGTGAGGCGTGGACATGATTTTTTTCCCCCTCCTGTGCTTTGGGCCAGAATTGTGTTGAGAAAGATTGTGGAGAATGACAAGTTGTTATTTGTTTTTGCCTTTGAACTCTGGTTGGTTTAGTTGAATGATCTTTGCTCATTTGGATCTCTGTTAGGGTCGTCCTCAGTCGTCCTAATTCTCTATTGTTAAGCACTACTAGACAGACACATGACCTAGGACTGACCTCAGTCAGACATACACAGTCCATGCAGGACAGCCACTATGTGTCCTGGGCTTTTAATTGTCTTTTGGGGTGGGTGAAAACAGTGGGTAGAGACCCCTTTAGTCATTGTAATAATGTTTAAAGTCTAAAAATATATCAAAAATAGTGTAAATTATTAAAATATGAATAATATATTGTATAAATTAAATAAAACATACTTATATACATATACATTATACATTACATATGTATACATGTATACATATGTATATATGTGTGTGTGTGTGTGTGTGTGTGTGAATATAAAATATATAATATGTAAGATATTGTACGACAATTACAATTCTGCTTATGATCGTATGTTTTCTTCTTTCTCTTTCAGATTCGTGTTGACGGTCCTCCTCAAGGTGGCGTCCAGTATGAAACTCTGCCGGTCATCAAAGACGGAAACCCTATTCTCAGAGACATGGCCTTTTCCCTGGACAACAGCTACATCTACGTCATGTCGGAGAGACAGGTCTGAATATATACATGTATATGCTTTCCCCTCCCGTCGTCTTTCTTCCATCCATAACAGCTGCAGGACGGAGAGAACGTGACAGCATCCACTAATGAAAGAGAGCAATGGGAAGAGAGTAGAGTAGCTGTGTCAGTGAAGGAGAGAGTGATGGAGGGACAGCTGAAGGAGGATAACAAGGTCACTTCATCTCGACAGCATAATGAAGAGAGAGAGAGAGATGGAGAGAGACCCTGCTCATATAATATCAATACACACAACACTTCCCATGGGATGCATTGCAGACTAGAGGTGGGCGGTATGAGTCATTTTATATTACAGTAACCCTATACTTCACAGTATTATGGAAAACCCGCTTTTTGCCTCAGAGTAAAAAAGGTAATTGTGACTATTTCTCAATGGCGACTTTAGTTATAATTGCGGCTTTAAATCTCATGACTTGAATTTCATAATTGTGGCTAAAGTTCTTGTTTTTACAATGCTATTTCTCACAATTGCAGCTTTATATATCACAGTGTGACTTTTTGAGTTTTTTATCTCACAATATGACTATATATCTCAGAGTGTGACAGTATTTCTTATTTTAAACTTTATCTCACAATTACCTTTTTTTATTTCTGAGATGAAAATAGGTTGTAGCTCCTGAGGTTGTAGGTTTTTTTTTTTTTACTGGAAATTCATACCAAGCATATTTCACATAATAAAGCAGTAATGCTGCTTCACATTATGTAGCAAAAGAGTCTAAAAGTCTCAAAATGGTGTTATTGGATAAAGCTGAAGCTGTTGTACAAAAAAGCAACTATTAATAACAAAATAATCACTTAAGTAAATCAGTTTAATTCTTTATTAATGCACCAAGTTACATTAATATAGTTAATTTTGAGTTTGTTAAATAGCTTAATATATAATTATTTGAATAATTATTAGTGCAATAATTTTTTTATATTTTATGTAATATAAATACAATTTTCTATAAATACAAAATGTGTTTAATGTAATTACTATTACTATAGTGTTTTTTTTTTGCTTTTGGATATACTGCACAGCATAGCAGAAACTCTTACAGTTGACATTTCTTGCTCTGAACAATATACTATCATACCGCCCAATCATATTTTAGACTATGAAATAAAGTGAAAGAAAGGAAGAAAAATGGAGCGAGAGAACCTCTAAAGGAGAAAATACTGTCTCTGCTCAGAGATGGATGACCAGGCCGGTTGCTTACATCTCCAGGCTTTTTTTAGCATCCATTCTAGAGGTTTGATATCCCCTCTGGGTGGCACGTGGGCAGCGGGATGGGGTCGGTGTGGCAGGAGGGAAGGGCCGGTAATGAGAGCGGTGGTTTAATGCACAGCAGGCTGACAGGTTCACATCATATTGCTACACACGCGGCCCGCTGGGTCAGCCCCACTGGGCGGCACGTGTAGTGTCAGATGAAAGAAAAATGAGGAGAAAGAGAAGACTTGTTGAGTCAGCACATTGTGTCTACGCACACATCCTGTCACCCTCACCAGGGATGTAGAAGTGAGCCCAGCATTTTATCAACTTTTTGACTTGAGTCCCAGGCCCTTGCATCACCCAGACCTGGTGACAATGAATTAACAGCGGGGATATAGACTCACAAAGACTCTGCTTTTTCTCTTACTTTCTCACTCATACACTTAAGCTAAAAATATTTTTGATTTAAATAAGGTAAACACTGACAGCATATGTGGGATGCTGTCATTTATCACAAAAAATATTTTTGACTCATACCTCAGTTTGCAAAAATTGCAAACAAAAACTGAATATACTGTTTATGCATTTCTACTTATCCCATGTACTTTCATTGTAAATGCATTTCTGTGCAAACTGAGGGAAAACTCAAAATGTTCTTGTTCTTGTAGTTACAGTATATGGATCAGAGGTTTTCAAACTGGTGTCCAGGGAAATTTTTTACAAATGTTTCTATGATTTATTTATTTATTAAAAAAAAAAAATTTAATGACAAAATAATATTTTTTGGAGGGGGGGTTTCAAGTTAATGTTATTTATTTATTAAATATGTTTACAGGAATTTCTCCTTGTTGTTTCCAGTTCAGTGTAATTAAAGTACCAAAGCAGTGCAAAACACGTAAAATATGGTAAGTTATGCAGCTTTTTAGGATACTTGTTTCTGATTGGGCAAACTGTTGTGGCAAACTGTATAATTGTCCAATGGGATCAACCTTTGTTTTGTTATATATATAAATATATGTCAAGGTCAGTTTTATAATATCGTTTAATATAACACTAAGTATGTTTCACACAGTGTAAATAGGTCTTTATATATGAAAAATTATTGGTGCCTTTATATTTTTGGAATGGGAATCGTCATATTTGGGGGGTGTTTGGCATCAAAAAGTTTGAAAACCTCTATTCTCTAATAGCACTGTAGAAAATAAATGTAGCTATTTGGCATTAGGCTGTGAAACCGTTTTTTTGGAAGCTTTATTTGTGTGTGTGTAAAAGAGCCATCGGCATGTTCCATCATTTCTTCACCCTCTTTTGTCCTGTTTTAAGTGTTTCAGGTGATTAATTCAATATTACAGCTTATTAAACGGCCGTGTTGAGAGGCATCGCTGGGCTCAATGAGCTCTTTCAGTCTGACTCGGGCTCAATTGCTCTCTGAGGTATTCCTCTTCATAACACCCGCCGTATCTTCTGTGAGTAGTGTTAATATTCAGGATGCAGGTGTGAGACGTTCACTTGTTGGGCTGAGAGGAACAAAAAATGGTGCTAAAGACCGCACGGCCTCCGTCACCCCAGCGCACCGCTGTTTGAGGAGTCAGTTGGCGTAGTCACGGTTCACACTGCACAGAGCAGCAGGATTACCATTCACCTTTCAGCACAAGCTCTTATGCTAGCAGGAAACAGAGCCGTCATGGCGGAGTGGAGCTCACCGTGGTCACGTATTGTGTGTAATTTAATGAAAACGGAGCCAAAATGGCTGAACTAGGGTAGTTATTGCAGCTCCATGGGGATGTGTGGTATATTGTCTGTATGTTCGCTGGCTAAGAGGAGTCAAAATGGCACAAGGCAATCCTTCACATCTCTGTCATGCTATCATTCAGAAAAAAGGACAAGTACAGTAATGGTTTCAAATGGTATATTGTTTGATATATACTATTATGGTCATTTTCCATAATATGTAATAACATCATATTTTATGTAACTGAAGTGACCAATTTAATAAAATGTTTCAAATTTACCAATATAATATAACTTCATAATATAATATTTAATATAACTAAAATTTTGACCAATTATTTTATGGATGCACAATATTGAAATTCCGGGAGATAACAAAAAGCCAATAGTTAATTTCATGTTATGGCCAATAACCATTAAATGGCCAGAAAATCTATACTAATTTGTAAAATAAATAAATAAAATAAAATTATATATAATAAAAGTAAAAATAAAAACTATATGTTCGGATGTTGAAGTGGATTTATAATCACAACTTTGTAATGTATAGTATTATATAGAAATGTATTATTTATATACATTTTTAAAATTTGCTAAAAAAAATAAAATACATAAATTTTAAATATATAAACGAATTTCCATAATCTTTCTGTCTAAAATGTAAAAATAGGTTGAAATGAATTAAATTAATTCTGGTAATTTTTAAACAAATCTATTTCATTGGCTACACCAACATCATTTAGATATAAGTAATATTATAGCCTAACATTTTTCACTTTGCCATGATTCAGTCAGTCTGGTAATGGATAAAATCAAGTCTGTGTTATTTCCCTCTAATTATTCTGAAATATATAATGCATCGTATTCTAGAACTCACAGATTATACATTTACATACATGCTCACATGCATCAGACACCGATGGATTTGCATTTAGCATTCAAGCTCAAACCAGCATGAAATCTTGCTTTACGCGTAGAGACACGCACAAGCACATTCCATTTTTACCCACAAACGCTTCACGCCACCTCATTTCCCATTCGCCATCTATAATTCTTTTCTATGATGCCGTATATTGTGCGTTTCCTCAAAGACACATAAATACAGCTCATTCCAAATGCATAGCCATCACTCACTAGAACACAAATAGATTTCAAACGGATTGCCTCACACTGACATAAAGAGAAATACACACATACGCACATTCCTAGACTTCGGGGCCCATTGTCTCAGTCTATATGTGAGAATGCCATGTTAATGGTCCGTAGTTATTAGTTAGAGCAACACAGTGGAACTGAAAGTCAAATGAGCCCCAGACAAGATGTGTCCACAACCAGAGCAGTCAAAAACACAGGTTATGTCAGCCGTGTTTACCGAACATCTGTGAAGGGCTTGAAAGAAAGAGCGTCCAGAGCAGAGCAGGAGCATCTGCAGTCTTAGATCACGCAGGCGGTGTGATGGTGTCCTTTCTGTGGTAATTCATAGTCTTGTGATAAAGTGCTTTGGCTGTTTGGCTGGGGAAGGGAGCCAGAGGCTAACAGCTACGAAAGGTCAGAGCTGTTTCAGCTGATAACAGCTTTACAGAGACAGAGGGAGAGAGCGGCGGGCGAGGGAAACAAAAAGAGAGTCGTTGAAAGAGACATGGAGACTTAGCGATGTCATGCACATTTGCAAAATGTGTGTCAAAGACCGCTTCAAAAATATCTCATCTAGGTTTTACATTCCAGCCGACTGCAAACAGTCTTTACTTGTCACCTCTCTGCCAAACTGATGGCACACGAGTGGGAGTCTGACGCTCTGTGAGCTGCATAGACAGCATCCTAACCAGAAGAGAACCGCATAAAGGACTGAACTGCTGCACTTATAGGCCATCTATATTGTTTTATCTATCTCTCATTCTATTACTTCTATATCATTTTATCCATCTCTCATTCTATTATTATATCTATCTATCTATCTATCTATCTGTTGTTCTATATCTATCTATCTATCTATCTATCTATCGTTCCTTCGTTCTATCTATCATTCAATCTATCGATCCATCGATCTCTTT